GCCAACTGTATGGGAACAGTGTTTGAAGAAAAAGAACCTCTTCTAGGACCTCAGGGCATCAGCTCCTGCATAACCAAGTTGAGAAGCTGGGTCTGCAAGCATCTTCTCCAATAGAAACCTCAGATATGAACTGAGAAGGGTCCCATGCCCCACTTCTCTACCCCCTTCACAGCCTGTCACAAGTATTGTTTTAAAGTGTATTTTTCCTGTTTGAATATTTGAGATAAAAAGTTATCAAAAAAAATTGTTGAGCTTAAATGGTAGCAAAGTCTCTCTAAGATTACAAAGGCCTAGAGTTCTATAAAAATGTGAGGTCCAGGAGTCAGAAGATGTGGGACATTCCAAGCTTTCCATGACTATCACAAAATACCTGAGGCATCAGGTTTTATAAAAATAGCAGATCAACAAAGAAATAAGTGTTCAGTCCAAGAACTAATGAGGTAATGATTGCTCCTGTTTCAAGCTGACGGGAAGTCAAGTACCACAATCAGCTGTCGAGAAGTTCTGCTTGCTTTGGTCTTAACACCAGCCTTGACTAACGTCAACAGTAGGAAAGAGAAGGAAGATGTAAGAAGATAGTTCCCAAAACCATGAAGGGTCCTTTAATTCAGGCTGTATACCTAGCAGATATTAAACCCACAGATGGAACAACCATGAGGGGCCCAAGACAGCAGCTGCCTCCCTGGCTTCAGTCCGACCACACCCTCCCCACTCCCGCCAGACTCTGGTGAGTGGACACCAGAGAGTTCCATCATCTCACATCTTCTTTTTCCAAACCAGTTTCCAAGTAAAGGTTCCTGGGATACAACATCCGTCCTCATGTCTCTCATAAGGAACCATCCCAGGGGCTGGTGAGTTGCCCTCAAGACGGGGCTCAGAGAAGTTGTGGGCTGTCACTCCCATCCTTCACTTCTCAAAGCCCTAATCCCCATCTCAGCCTTGTCTAACCAGATTGAAGACATTCTCTTTCTTCTTGCTCCTCATTGAGAAACAGCATTGTAAACAATTGCAAAAAAATAGATAAATAAATAATAAAATAAAACAAAAGCATCAGCAGGACATTGCTCGTTAGCACCTCCCTTTCTCGCAGGTGCCACAAAACCCCTCAAGACATTCTTGTGCCATCTACATGACTTGTAATTCGGGAAAAGCATAAATGTTAGTGATAGCCCTTTAGATGCCATGCATTTGTACACGTGCAGCCTTCGCAGCTTTAAGCACTAGCCAGAGACACTAGAGACCGAATTAAAGGCTGCTTGTGTGTATCTGAGGAAAGTTGGAGGTAGAACTGAGGTTCCTGATTGTTCTGATCTGTGCTAATCGGAGCTAACTCCTGCACTGCATTGCAGAGGGGAAAACTGCGGGTACATCAGTGTCCTTGCCACCAGCACGCTTCTCTAGCAGGGGCAAGGGCAGGCAGTAGAGGCTTCAGTGAGACCTGTGCACTGTGACACTGCTGTCCCCAAGGTACCACGTCTAGAGAATGCCTTCCACAATGGGCGCCCACGTGACGTTCTGCGTCAGTGATTGATTTAATCTCTCACCTGATGACTTCTTGCCTGCTGTTTTGCTTACCAAGCCCAAATATCCTTGGATCCAAACATGCTGTGTAGGACTATGTCACTGCAGTCTTTGCTTCTCTTGCGGGTTGTGGAGGGCGAATGAGAAAGAATGTTTGTCCCTGTCCTGTCCCTGTCCGGATGCAGAAGAGCTGGGAGAGGCATTCTTTACAGAATCCCCATGTGGCCGCTGCCCCACTACATAAGCAGAACATTTACAAAGTTAAACTGCCTGTGGAAAAGATCAATGTCAAGCAGTGACTGAAGGAAAATAGTGTTGGAGCAGGTTCTGAACCAAAGGAGTACTTAGGAACGTGCATGCATGCATCGTGTGTAGGAAAACATAGCTGCCTCCGGCCAGTTTTGTCCTCCCCTCTTCCCATTTCTTCATCCAATCCTATCTCTTCTCACATTATATATTTAATGAACTTTCCTAAAAATCTTTCTGGAAAGAGATTCATCATGAATAAAGAGAACTATCAGGTCTTGATCGTGGTGTCCGATCCCTTCTAGCCCAGGTGAGATTGAGCAACATTTAAAAGGCTGGGAGTGTTTGAGATAGGATCTCATCATGTAGCCCAGGCTGGGCTCAGGTTCACTGTCTTCCTGTCTCAATGTCCCAACCTGAGGTTCCAGGAGTGTACAGTCACACCCAGGAAGTATTTAGAAGACAATACCAGAATAGTTGTTGTATGGCTGTTTTTCACCTGGCCAGAAAGGAATAGGTTGTTTTAAGTTCATGAGAAATTCAAATAGTTTTGAACAGAGTCTGCATAGGAAGAGACTAGAGAGAACTTTCTGGGGCAGAAATTCCAGGAGAGAGGAGAACAGAAGAGCTCCATGTTGCTTGGAAGAAGACGGGAAGAGGCAGAAGGTGATGTTAGGGGCTTTCAGAGGAGGCATGGCCGGGACTGCAGCGGGCTATAGTGCTCTACGGAGGATTCGGGGCTCGTCAATGGCACCGCAGGAAGTCCTGAGCTAAGACATTGAGCTGTGCCATGGGAAGGCTGTCTTGAGACACCAGGAGCTCAGCCAGGATCCCAGCAGTTCCAGCTGTCTCTGATTTTCCCATAGGTTCTCCCCAAAGCTACAGCATCTGCAGAGAGCAGACCCTGGTGTCTTGATAGCTTGCAGAAGAGAAGTTAACAAACCCCAATGGCTACCCAAGAGCTTTAGTTTTGTTTGGTTTTGGTTTGGGGTGTTTGTTTGCTTGTTGTTTTGTTTTGTTTTTTTGAGATAAGGTCTCTCTCTGTATCCCTGGCTGTCCTGGAACTCACTATGTAGACCAGACTGGTCTCAAACTCACAGAGATTCATTTGTTTCTGCTTCCTGAGTGCTGGGATTAAAGGTGTGAGACACCACACCTAGCAACTTTGGAGGTTTTGCACCCAGTCTGAGGACAAGAGAAGGGATCCTGGGAGCCAAGCAAGTGCTGAGAGATGGGTGGGCAGAACAGAGGACTCCATGCACCAGGGGCAAGGTTTTACATACATACATCATCCATCGTGACAGTTCCTAAAGGACATGTCTCCCCCACTTCACAGTGAGAAGTCCGAAGTTCTAAGGTGACATAGGGACAAAAACCAGGATTCAAACTCAGGTTTGGTTGCCTTGGAAACACATATCCTTTTGTTTTGCCTGACTCAGGGCTGCATTCTGTGACCTGCACTTGAGGTGTGGCTCTACAGGACTGGAGTAGAGGCCAGGGAGGAAGGGAGAGTTCCGGCCGGAGAAAGTGGCTCTGTCCAGGAAACCTGAGACTAGCTCACTCCCCTCGCCCAGCCTGATAACAGCAGGCGACAGAAGGCTGCCCGGGTGCTGGAGGTCGCAGCTCCAGTCTATACTACATGACGATCGTGACTACTGAACTCATGAGTGAATTAAGCAAACAGAACAGGCAGAAGTTGGCAGTAGCAGACAGCGCTAGAGTTGCCCACAGTCCAGACTTCACACAAGTTATTAAAAAATAAAGTCTTGGTTTCCTCACTTGCAAAATATGAATAAAGGCATCCTATAGGGTTTTGCTTGGTTTCCTGTTGTTCTGTTGGGTCTTCAGGGATGTTTGGGCTAGTTTTTTTTTTGGGGGGGGGGGGTGGTTTTTGAAGTACTAGGACCTAATGCCTTAGGGATGGAAGGCAAGCCAAGCTCTCTACCAGTGAGCTAACACCCAGCATTCCATATGTAATTTGAGGTGATCAAATGGCTCATGCCTGCCAGGTGTTTAACAATGTTGGCAACCAGAGGAAACACTCAACCCCTTTAGGTCACTCTTATCATTTTTTATCACTATCGTTTATCATCATTATTATGGGAAATTGCGGTTCGTTTATTGTGGTTCGTTATTCATCTTAACGAACACCAGAAAAGAAAAAAAAAAAAATAGAACGATTCCTTTCTTTCCCAAAGCTGGCCTCACACCAGCAGCAGGGGGACTAGGAGGGCTCATTGCTTCTTGTTTTACCAGGGGGGAAAAAAAAAAAAGGTGTAAAGAGAGATTTGCCTGAATCTCAAAGTTCTCATAGTGAACTTGAGCCCAGCGGCTCCCCCCTGGGATCAGCCCCAGGCACTGGAGGGCCCCCTGCAGAGCCCCCCCTCCCCCCCCCCCCCCCCCCCGCAGAGAAGAAGCCCAGTGGTCTGGCAGGCGTCCAGCGGGTGGAGCCCGAGAGTCCCGAGCTGCCTGGCGGAGGGCCGATAAGGCGACTCCGCACATCAGCGAGTCTGCAGAGGAGACCCTCTTGGAGCAGGAAGGGTTTTCTTTTCTTTCTTGTTTTTTTCCTAATTCTTTGTTCACATGGTGCCCACGACTTTACTGTATTTCTGCCATAGTGGAACAAGCCACAACACTGGGGTCCGAAGAAGAATGGGGACGAATGGGACTTTTCGTTCAGTGTTAGATTCTGCTCTGGACCTCCGTCTGCTAACATTTTAAAGGCTGTGCATCCCGGGCTTATCACCCCAAAGAGGAACAACCAGGGAAGCATTTGTGGGTTTGGGTTTTTTTCCTGCACAGGCAACAGATAGCAATAACTTGTGTTCCCCTTGTCCCTGCTCCCTCTCCCACCGCCCTTGAGCCCTGTCCTCATACCAGAGCAGAAGTATCAACTCCAACATACTCCTATTGCAAGAGAAGCCATTTGCTGTATAAATGGCACTATGTGGATCCTTTCTGGTTACAAATCTTTCCAAAAAGAAAAAAACATTTCAAGGTGGGGGTAGGAAATGGCATAGAAGAGAAAAGGTGAGTTTGAGTTTGCTTATCACCAAGTAAAGACCCTGGGATGCTGTGGAGACATCACAGAACTGTTGGCACCATGTCAAAAGAAGAGAAAGGAAGGGAGAGACTTGAGGCACTGAGGCCAGTCATGCCCCCACCCCCCACCCCACCCCGTGTTGTTCTGGCATTGATGGAGTGGGAGGAGAAAGCCAGTTAGTTCAGAGACCTGAAGAGCAGACTGTGGGTATAAAAGGGTGAGGTGCCTCTCCTGCACCACCTCTCCCTTCTGAGAGAGCCTGGCCACTCTTTATCAGGCCTTGCCTTCTGCCACCGGAAAGCCAGCTGCAGGGTAAGTACCCCCCTTGTTTGTTAATTCCAATTATTCTTGTTGGAGCTTGTCTTTGTCCCCTTAATCTTGTCCCTTTTCCTTTTTAAAGACAGAACAGAGGCTTGAGCATAGTGTCTAACTCCGGAGACTATACTTTGTATTATTATTTATTATATTAGGCATTTTAACGATACAAGTTAATGAACTTCACTGCCACATCTATATACACGCACAGACTGTATCTAGATTGTGTTTGCTTTCCTTTCTGCCCTCTCTGGCCCTCTCTCGCCCTCTTGCCTTCCCATCACCAACTCTGCTCTCCTTTAAATGGTGAACTGTGTCTCTGATTGTTGGAACTGAATAGTTGGAGTTCTGGTAGACTAGACGGCTACTCACCAAAGCCACAGTCCTCTTCCCAGAAGCTTAAAAAGCAATGCCTGGGCTATGATTCCTGCGGAGAGTGGGAGCTGCTCTGGGCTGAAGTGGATGAGCCTTCCCACGGGGCACTCACTCTGTATACTAAACAGGCCGGCCTAATTGACAGAATGAGAACTTTCATCAGGCCGCACTCTTGAAAAACACGAAGCAAAACTGGAGGCAGCATTTTTATGACTCACAAGAAGATGTGGGGTACTGGGAACAGCCCTTCCCGCTATGGGCTTGGGGCTCCTGTGCATGTGCTGTCCTGCTGGAGGGAGTGTGCTGTGTGCCTATGGGGCACTCCGATCAGTCACAAGCGTAGCGGTGTCTGCTGTGGAGGGAAGTGTTTTAATCAGGAGGCAGAAATACCTGACAGGGGTTCTTTGTTTCTGATTACAGCTCTGAGGAGAACTGAGCAGTTCCTGCCATTGTGATCAAAAATGACCTAAAATAAAGATTAGACAAAGTAGCAAATAAATGTCCGCGCACAGAAAGTCTTTTTTTTTTTTTTTTTTTTTTTATCATGACAGAACACAAAAACGTTTCAAGAAACCCAGATCTAACACTTGGTATTATTTGAAGCAATACTCAAAGCATGGAAAATTGAGGGCTTTCAGGCCTCTCCAATTGAACCCATTACTAATCCATGCCTCAGAACAATGGGTTCACTGTGTGTGAGAGAGTAGGGAAGACAGTAGACGTGAGGCCTTCGTGTTTGTCTCGGGACAAATACTGAGCACTGCCTCGTTCCACTGGTGATTTGGCCTCTCGAACACACTTTCCAACTCCCGGCAGCAGGTTCACCATGCACAGCTTCCAGAATATTCCTGAAGGCTCGTTGATAGCCTTGTCAGTGGTGCAGGAGAGAGGCTGGCTTTGAGGAACCACTGGTATTGCTTTGGACAGTAACAGACCCCAGAGAGGGCACAGAGCCCCTTCTTTGTCGTTGTTTGATCCGGTGGTCTTCACGGTGATTGAATTCAGAGTGCTGTGGCCTGACACCCACTTCAGATCCTACCGTGCAGAAGCTGCTACTGCCATCGGTGACTTAAATAAAACCCTGGGTGACACTAGCTTGCCTGGCCCCAAACCGGAAGACAGAAGCACAGGACTTAATGCCTGAATAAGCTGATTCTGCCTGCCGTGGACTGGGTAGACTTGAGAAGTACCACTGAGCCTTGTTTTCTATAAACTGTGATATCTCAAATATGCACATATTTGTCCAGTTCTGTCCATAAGATAATATTGATGCTGACCTTGTGGAGATAGTTCTGTGGGCTGTATGGGCCAAGGAAGGCAGACGGAGAACAAAGGAAGCAGTAGGCACTCATTCTAAGGAATCGTGACCCTTCCCCTCCTGTTTTCCTTTTCTCTGCTTTTGATCATTTCGGTTTTTATTCTTTCTTTCTTGTCCCCCACTCCTTAGTACGGTATAAGATTCTTGCCATTGGGACTTCTTGGTATTGTTTCGTACCAACCAAAATTGCTCATATTGCAAATGCCAGGAATACTAGTACTAGCCAGATAGTTTACCATAAGGTCTCACATACATACACACACACACACACACACACACACACACACACACACATTTTTTTCCCATAAGATAGGTCAGAAATATTTTTCCACAGCTGCGGATTCTTCAGGTCGCTTTGGTAAAGTTTCTATGTTTCAGACCAAGTCAGTAGAAGAATCTGAAAACAAAGTAAATGATAGAGGCAGAGACAAATATCACACATAGAACATTCTAGAACTTCTGGGAGAAGAACTGTCTTGAATGCAATGAACACAGTCAGTGTCCTCTTTCCTCCCTCCCATTGGAAGCTCCTTGATGAGTGGGGACCTCTGCTCTAGGGCACCAGGACAGGGAATATTTTCCCTTAGCAGAAACTCCCACGGGCCTGTCTGTCTCCCCTGATCTAGCTTTTCCTGTGCTCCCCAGAGCCAGGACATATCCTGCTGATTGACATCTCTTTGCCCTTTGTCATATATGGAAAAAAGGAAGGATGAGTGAACAGTCTTTGATTGGTGGTACTGATGACGTCCATCACAGTCTTCTTTGGATAGACCCCTTTGGAAATAAAGCCCGTGAGGCAGCATCAGGAGGCTTCAGACGGCTAAGCTTGGCTCTGGCACACAGGTGGAAAGAACAGGTAGGCTCCCTTCCAGAGGTTTGGTCCTTGGGGAACCTTAGAGCCTGTTTCCAGCTTGGTGTCTCTTCTGAGCCCAGGCTGGGCATGGGTAGTCAGCAAGGTCTGCTGGGCATGGTCTGTGGCCTCGCTACCCCGATAGGTAGAGGCTCTACCCCTGAGCTAGGGCATTTAAAGGGCCTTGGAAAACCCAGGAAAGCACAGCTTAGAGCTTATGATTCTCCTGCTTGTGTTAGTTTAAGATCCCCCTCACTGCCCTTTTCTCTCCATGGAAATGCAATGTTTGAGCACCAGCTAGAATGTTTCTCTCCTGGGCACAGTATCCCAGTTCCCAAAAGAGACACAGACTTTGTAGGATGATAACATTCCAGAGTGAACAAGATTTAAACTACTGTTTTCTCCTAATGGGCCCTCATGCTGGCAATCTGGAACAGGTGTCAGGGATCTCAGGAGCTACAGGAAGATCAGCCGTTTAGAATAACTGGCTCCAGGGCCTCTGGGATGTAGCCACTCTGTGCAGTCAGGATGGGTCTTTCTCTGTGGTGTGGGGCAGTGGGGAACAAAGTTACAGCCCTCCAGTGCATCCCAACAATTAAGGCATAGCTCTAGGTTGGGCTGTGGATTTGAACGAAAATAGGTTAGTCTTAACTTGGGGTGGTTCTGCAGGGGACACAGGCCATTCAGGTTCCCAGTCATGTCTGGCCAGTTACACTATCAGGTTTCGAATCTCCTGGGTGATGTGGTATCCGAACTCTCTTAAATAAACACAGGTTGGACATTTTGAGAGCATGCACTTGTGTTTTCTGGAACTGATTTCTGTGGTGGATGGAAATGGCCAATTTCAGGCCTTGACATGTTCGATTATAGCAACTCAGGACAATTGTCCTTCGAGCTTCTTCATGTCATGGCTGAGACTGAAGCCTCGTGCCTCCTATAACCAGGTGTGACTTTGAAAATGGGTTGCTGTCGCTAAGGGTCTAACCCCACAATATTTTCAGTTATGAGGTTTGAGAGGCAGAGGTCTAAAATAAGTGATAGCCTCTGCTTAGATTATGAAATAGAAGACCCCTTTTCATAAATGCTGGGTTACTTAAATGGGTTTGTAAATTTTAGGCATAGAGCAGAGTTATGTGGGTGTGATTTAGGTTCCACGGCTCCAGCACTTTTCAGTGTGAAAAAGGAAGTGTGAAATACGGAGATTCTCTGAGAGACTCACAAATGTTGATGTCAGGTTGAGCGTTGCCAAGGCACAATGACCTTGGTCTGGAATGCGTTGTAGAAATGGCTCCAACTTTGTGTGACGATCAATGGTGCACCATTGTTTAAGAAACAGGAAGACAGCCAGGCATGGTGGAATATACCTGTCATCTCAGCACTTGGGTGGCAGAGGCAGGAGGATCATAGCAAGTCCAAGGCCAGAGTGAGCCAGAGTGAGAAGTAAAATTGTTATGCAGTAATAAATCAGTAATGAAACATTGATTCTGTACTGGGATTGATGTAAGTCAAAAGTAGAGTCCACATTTGTAAAAAAAAGACATCATTTTATTGGCTATCAAATGCTAGCTGGTGAATGTGGCAAATAGAAGGGACCAGAATGAGTTGGAGGAACTTTGTCCATGCCCTGCTGTAAGGAGAGGTGGGCTGGCATATCGGTGCAGCTCTGGGCACTCCCTTGGTCTTGTCTTTTGTGGCTGTGGTTTCCACATAGTCTCCACTGAAGGTTGTAAGGTTGTAAGGTTGACGATGGGGATGCCCTCTTCCTTTTTACTTGTCTGTGCTGTGCTTTCTTCATACAACCGGGGTGACCTGGCTGTTGTCCTTCTCTCCATCTCTAGGAGTTTATCATTGGTAGTCCTCTCATCTGTGGTTGGCACCATGAATTCTTCATGTGTGTCTGCAGGGTACCAACCCCAAGGATGTTGGTTCTCTCTTATTATATCCTCACCATGAGAACTAGGTAACCCTATAGTCAACAAACATTATGCCTCTAGTGTTTGGGTTCTGACAAGACACTCAGACTGTGATAAAACCCTGTGCATTCTTATAGCATGTAATCGTTCCATCACCATCTTTGGCTTTAGACAGCCTTGTCCATTTCCACCTCTCGAAGTTTCTAGACCAGTGGTTCTCAACCTTCCTAATGCTGCGACCCTTTAATACAGTTCCTCGTGTTCTGGCAACCCCCAACCATAAAGTTATTTTTCTTGTTACTTTATAACCATAATTTTGCTACTGCTATGAATCATAATGTAAATATCTGTGTCTTCTGATAGTCCTAGGCAACCTGTGACAGGGTCACGCATCCCCCAAGGGGCCTCGACCTACAGGCTGAGAACTACTGTTCTGCACCTTTGTGGTGTATCTTTCTTCCTTTTATGCATATATGATGAAGTCCAAATTACAGACCCTCGGAGGTAACTGCCTAACATAAGAACATATTCAACCAATCCTATTCTTGGAGACTGGGAATTCTTAGGTTGTATCAACACACACACACTTTTTTAATTTTTTTTCTTTTTCAAAGAATTCTTAAATAAAATCAGTAGTTTGGATGCTTCATATGTTGGTGTTTTACTGGGACAGAATCTCATGTAACCCAGTCTGTGCTTGAACCATCATGTTGCTGAGGTTGGCTTTGAACTCCCCATCCTCCTGCCTCCAGCTCTCAAGTGCGGGGATTACAGGTGTGTGCCACCACTCAGACTTCTAATTACTATTTTGTAAATAAAACAAAAATGCAAATTTTAAAGTTACATATTTTGGGCTGGAGAGATAGCTCAGAGCGTAAGAGCACTAGCTGCTCTTCCAGATGTCCTGAGTTCAATTACCAGCAACCACATGGTGACTCACAGCCGTCTATAATGAGACCTGGTGCCTTCCTTGCCAGCAGTACATTGTATGCTTAATAAATAAATCTTTTTTTTAAAAAGTTACTTATTTTAGCTCTTTCTATATTATTTAACTTATTGTGTTGACTTTATCTGTTTTTCTTTTCCTTCAACACTGCTAAGTCCCCTGAGTGCAGGAAATGGGGGCTCAACAAACACTTGTTAAGTTAGAACCCAAGCCTTCTGAGGGTACAGACAAGAACCTTCTCGTGGTAGCATTAAAGACATCAAGGACAAAGGCTGATGTTTGATTTGGACAATGAGTTCCTCAATGGTCCTCCAGGGGGAAAGAGCAAGTTCGCGGGCCCTCAGCACTGCCTCGGTCTAGGCAAATGCCTCCAAACTCATCTTCCAAACAACTGCACAGCCTAAGTAGCCAACCCACAGGGTTCTCGTTCAGGATGTTTACAAGCTCTGCCCTTCCTTCCTTCAAGGACCCAGAGGAAGAGATGGCCTTGGAAGACAGTCCCACCATGGTTAAAGTAGACCGGGGTGAAAACCAGGTTTCATCATGTCGGGGGAGACGCTGCAGCTTCAGAGTGCTTGGCTATGTCACTGGTGATATGAAAGAATTTGCCAACTGGCTTAAAGGTATCTACACATTCATTCGGTGAGAGATGAGAGAAGCAGCTTCGAGGAAACCCTTTGCTTGGGCTTCTGCCCATGTCTTAGCTCTGCTCTCAAGCCGTCCCTGGAAACAGTTCCTGATTTGCATCTTCTAACTTGCTAACCTTTTCACACCTTTGTGTGTGTGTGTGTGTGTGTGTGTGTGTGTGTGTGTGTGTGTGTGTGAATAGTGGGGAGTCTGCATCCTACAATCATCCTACAATTTTCCCTACTGATAATTCATTGCTTTGGCTTAGTCTGTATCTCTGAGCATGGCAAATGGGAGCCTTAGCTGCTTCCTGAAGCTTGAGTTTCAGTAGGGGCAGGGTGGACAGACTACAAGCAAGCCAAGAGGTCAGAGGGAGGCTTCACAAAATACCCAAATGTTTCAGCTCCTGCAGGTTCTGGTGGCTTTGTTCAGGGTGAGCTGTTTCTTCCTTACCTCTGCTCATCTTGTCTCTCCAGACAAGCCCGTGGTGCTCCAGTTCGTGGACTGGATTCTCCGTGGCATATCCCAGGTGGTGTTCGTCAGCAACCCCATCAGTGGAATCCTGATTCTGGTGGGACTTCTGGTCCAGAACCCCTGGTGGGCTCTCTGTGGCTGTGTAGGAACTGTGGTCTCCACTCTGACAGCCCTCTTGCTAAGCCAAGACAGGTAGGCAAGCCCGCATATGCTAGCTCCCTTATCTTTCCGAGCTACTAGCTGGGCAGCTACCACGAGCAGTCATAAAAACGCCACACCCTTCCAGGTGAAACACCACACACACACACACACACACACACACACACACACACAGAACTCTCTGCCTTTCGTCAGAGGCCAGAGGATCACAGATAGTCTTCGATCCCTCTCGTCTGAACAAGGGACCAGTCTGAGTCTTACTGGCTGTGTCTGGTAGCCAGATTCATCTAACGCCAGGGAAGAGCCTGCTGAAGTCTCCGTTAGTGATACAATTACTTATTACAACTGACGCAAAATGCTTCTGAGTTCCTGAAAAGAAGAGGCTTTAGCAACCCCTGTTATACCTCGGGTCCCTCACTAGTGTAACATAGTTATCTCCTTCCGTGGGCAACGCAAGCCAGTTCAGTTCCCGGACTTACACAGAGCTCAATCCCAGGAGTAAGGAGCTCTATCCCTCACTGTTTATGCTGCAGTGAAGCACGATTCTGGGCTAGTCGTGCAGTTCAGCGGCAGAGCACTGGCCAAGCATGTACAAAGCCCTGCATTTCATCCCGAGTCAGAACGACAATTCCATTTAAGTAACTGAATCGTCCTGTGGCTGGCACTGGGGCATCTCCTGACTTGCAAATATTGCCATTCATTGCCCACCAACAACGCTGAGGGAGGTTCAGTCTGAAGAGCTCTCCACTGTGCTCAGGGATAACTCCAGTTTCGGGAGGATTACTGAAAAGAGACAAAGGACTTTGAAACTAGAGGCCGACCGCTAGTGTCCCCCATGCTGAGCAGATATGACGCCAGCCTATTGGTTGCACTGGCACCTTTGTGCATGGTCAGATCAAAGCGGGAAACTCTCACACCCACTGCAGGGTGGCTCCTCCCCCACAGGCCCTGCATCTGACCGAACTTCACAACCTTTACCCCATAGATCCCCACAGTCATTATCTCTGAGCGTCAGGCTGGAAATGGACCTTATTGTCCTTCATGATGCCTTCATCTCCAATTCTCAGAATCCAAAAGGAGGGAGCTTGCCAGACTAGGGCCTTATTCTACAGACTATTCCCATTGCTTACTTGCAGCTTCTCGTTCCTGATTGTGCCATAGAGTCCATTATAGCCAGAGTGGAGGCTGACATATAACACTCTGAAAGTGATATTAAGGCCAGGCAGGGATGGCATGCACCTTTAATCCCAGTACTTGAAGCTCTCAGAAGAGGCAGGTGGATCTCGTGAGTTTGAGGCCAGCCAGGTCTACAAGAGCTAGTTCCAGGACAGGTTCCAAAGCTACAGAGAAACCCTGTCTTACAAAACCAAAAGAACAAAAGAAAGAGATGTTAAATAGCAAGCACAGAGCGGGCGTTTTCGTCAGGGTTCTCTAGAGGAACTGAGGAGACAGACTGAATATCTTATCATCCCAGAGAGGGCTCAACAAGAGGGGCAAAGTGTGCACATAATTAAATAGGTGCTTGGGCAAGTAAAAATTGTCATTTTTATCTGTAATAACCTGGAGATGTACACTTAGAGTCCGCAAAATAGAATCCCAAGAAGACCAAAATGTCCACTAATTTGACATTGAATGTTTCTATGAAAGGTCTTGCCTTCCAGGAATCACGTGTCTCTCACTGAGAAATCAGAATTAAGACTGCTTGAAAGCCCTATTCAAGTCAAGGTCCCCAGTGACTTAAAATAAATAAAACTTTCCTCGGGAAAGGCTGAACCAAGAGCAGATTGCCCTACCCAGGCCCCTCTCCTCCACCAGATGCCATCCTTCCTGTGCCTTGTGGCAAACCCTGGAGGGTCTTGTCCCCGGTTCACATGTCAGAGTTTTATCTATGTAGATTAGTTGTGTTTGCATGATTCATGAAAGGCTTTGGAACACATACCCAGGTAGGACTGTGTTCTCTAAAGCGGATGTGATCTCTAGAAGTTACGCTTGTTTATGTCTGACCCTGACTACGTCCACTCAGGCAGTGTCTGTGCTGTCCCCATGCCTGCAGGTCAGCGATAGCAGCCGGGCTCCACGGCTACAACGCCACCCTTGTGGGAATCCTCATGGCTGTCTTCTCAGACAAGGGCGACTATTTCTGGTGGCTGATATTCCCTATATCTGTAATGTCTATGACTTGGTAAGTTGTGCTTGGTCTTCAGAATGCCTGTGGCGGGTAGAAGGAATGAAGGGTTGGTGGTTAAGGAGCACACGTTTGTAAGGTGACAATTACCCTGTGAGTCAATGGTAGCTGTACACCACCGTCAATGTGCCATTGACCTTTACACCTTAAACAGTGAAACAGGGCTGCCAAGTTAGCTTATCGGAAAAAGACACTTGTAGCCAAGGGTAACAACCTGAGGTTAACCCCAGGAACCCACATGGTAGGAGGGAGCTGACTTCCAGTGTTCCTCTGACCTCCACACAAGCCTCTCCACGCACGCCCACACATGCTCACCCACCTACACAAACACAGGAAAGTAGTTTAGTGGTGCCAGCTACAGAGGCACACACCTACAATGCCTGCATTTGGGAGGCTAAGTGAAGCCAATTGCTGAGTGTAAGGTCAGCCTGAACTTAGAGTGGGTTCCAGGCTAATTTGTCTAGAGAGGCAATCTAAGAAAGAAAAGGCGAAACAATATAATAATAAATGGTAATGCCACAAATTAAAAATACTTAAAAAGTTAGAACCAGATTATACCCTTGGTCGTGGAAACCAAAGCAGTCATCTCAAAGGTGTGGATTTTCTTACAGCCAGGCATTTGTCTCCTTATATCAAAGCAGCTGCACCTCCCCTTCATCCAGGCGTTCTCAACCGTAACTACACACTTAGCGCGTACACCTGCTCTGTGCTGTCGCCTAGATGCTGAGGTTTTTACATCTCCCAGGGTCAGTAGGGTCACCTTGTGTACTCAACCAAGCTGCCCATCTCCTCTTTTGTTTTTTTCTAAATTCAACCCCATCTTTACAAAACCTGGATCTTTAAAAACTGGCTTCTGTGCCCCAGCCGTAAAATTATCTCATTGATACTTCATACGTGTAATTTTGCTACAGCTATGAATCATAATGTAAATATCTGGTTTGCAAATACCTGATATTTGACCCCTGTAAAAGGGCTGTTCGACCCCTGGAGGGGTCATGACCCACAGGTTGAGAACCACTGATCTCCACCATTCAAAGCAAATCTAAACTTGCACACCATGGAGTGAGGAAGAGTATGTGTGTGAAGTGTGAAGTCTCAGGGTAACCAATAACAGCTCAAGGACAGACAGTCTGACCACTTCTACAGAACTTTTTAGTCCCCAGCCTCAGTGCCCCAAACCCTAGTCATTTCTTTTCTCCAAAATAGAAACCTATAGAGAAGACAGACAGAGGGCTATCTTCCAAATTAAGGACAGTGGCGACCCTGGGGTGGAGGACGGACCCCAGGATCATGGGGCACTAACTATGCAGAGAAGATTTCTCTTTATTACAAGCTCCAAACTTGTTTTTAAAAGCTTGATTATAACTTACTTTGAGCCACTTTTGGGTTACTTTTTTTTCTAAAATGTCAGCCAAGAGTTTATTTTGTGGTGTGTGTTAGATAAGTTGTTGTCTCTGCAATGGGACTGATCCCAAGTCACTGCCCCCACCCCACCCCCAGCCCCTATGCCCTGTGGAAGGTTTGTCAGTGTACTATTTCAAAGCTTGTTAGAACTGCAGCAGGCCACCTCGCGGAAAGACTGGGGGCTCAGCCTGACTGCTCGCACTGATTCTCAATCCTCTGTGACCTTCCTTTAGCCCACTCTTCTCAAGTGCACTGAACTCCGTGTTCAGCAAGTGGGACCTCCCTGTCTTCACGCTCCCTTTCAACATGGCGCTGTCGATGTACCTTTCGGCCACGGGACATTACAATGCATTCTTTCCAAGCAAGCTCTTCACACCTGTCACCTCCGTGACCAATATCACATGGACTGAGCTGAATGCCCTTGAGGTAAAATATCAACTTTTTTTCCCCCTAAAAATCTAGAACAACAGTTCCCAAGGACAGTTCATTGGAGATCAGACACTGTGGCGAGGTTAGCCCTTGTCTGAGTGGCTGAGACAAGGCAGGTGATCTCTCACTGGAGTTAGAGCGTTCGTGAGCAGCTCCCCTAGTCAGAACTGTTAGACTTTTTGGGCTCTGCAGAACCTGGCTGTTCTGCCTTCTTACAGAATACGAAGGGCTCTCAAGGTAGAGTGGGGCCTGGGAATCTGTATCAACAAGCTCCTCCAAACAGGGCTGGTGGACACAACTTGAGATCCGCTGAGTCACTGCGGGGGGGGCGTGGGGGTGGGATATGGTTCACCTCCTTACAGATAGGTGCAGAGAGAGCCGTGTTTTTTAAAAAGTTGCTTCTCGCAAATTGAAATCCTGGCTCTTTCCATACTTGTTTCTATAAGAAGTCTGCAGAAGGTTTCACGTGTATGTGTGTGCGTGTGTGAGTGCGTATGAGCATATGTGTGTGTGTGTGCATGCGTGTATACAGATTGCAATAGAGCATCATACATGCCAGGCACTCTGCCAATTTGCTGCATCTTAGACTCTTTCTTAATGTTTCTTAATTTCTGAAACTAAGGAGATACTTGAAGTCAAAGAAAACAAAAGAGGCCTTGCTGGTTTGGGTTTTAGTTCAATGTGCAGACTCGCTCTCCAGCCATCAGATCAGATGTGCCCTTCACCATCCTCTCTGCCGAGAGAGGAGAACACGGGAGGCGTTTACATAGCGTTTGCTTTATCTTTGACCCAGTAAGCAAATGGCAGTACTTGGAACTAGCCCCAAATGTAAAGAAAGCACATACTGGTTAAAAGTACCACTGCCAAACTGTGCCACTCTCTCCAACTACATTGTCTCAGAAGGCAGTCATTAGCCCCATTTAAAGTTAGATGTAGATGCATTCACAACTCTGTTTCTCAACTTCATCTGTCGCAATTCAGATTCTCAGTAACTGTGTGGCTAGTGCCTACTGCCCTGGAGAGCTCAGATAGGGACTATCAACAGGAAGGTTCTGAAGGTCAGTTGACCTCCCCTGATTCTGAGCCTCTTTATGTGATAGCTCACTCAACCTTCCCACCCCTGGCTACCCAAGAGATACATGGATACCAAGTTCAGAGATAAAAAGTCTATCCAGTCTCTACCTGTGCAAAGTTCCCAGGTCTAGAAGAGATGGGAGATGGCTATCTATAGATAAGACTGGGTACAGAGAGCATTTAGAGACCACCTTAAGGAAGACCGAGTCTCAGTGTGGTCCAGTGCACTGAACAAGGGCCAAGCCAGTGTTTGGAAGCCCAACCTGGGGCTTCCCCTGCCAGTGAGAGTCATTGCTTCTAGGTTCTTACCAAAGGATCCGCGAGAAGGTAAAGAGGCCATTATCTTTCAGGAAATGTTTTGCTCAAAGGGAGAAGCCATGTGTGGTTATATTTTCTTGGCCCAACCAAAAGTTTTATTATATGGAAACATCATGTTTGAGCCAAATCCTTTCCCTTCCTGAGAACTGTCACTCTGTAAACATTTCAGGTAGATTCAGGCTTCTGCCGGAAAACAGAATTGAAAGGTCTGTGCTTTCGTGTCTTGAGATCTGATAGACAGGTGTTAGTGACTAAAATAAGCCAGAGGTATTTTTATTAAATGGTACATGTTCCATTCGGGATCAGCCGGGCAAGTGTGGTCCCGACTCATCATGCTGGCTATAATTACTTCTACATTATGGACGAGCTAATCTTATTCCGTTCACTGGCCTTTTAATCTGGACAGCCAACTCAATTGTAAGAGTGTTTCTACAGACTCTGGAACAGCACTGATTCGCTGCCAGCACTGATGGACAACCCTGCCACACTAGGGAAGATACAGCAGGTTGTCAGAGCCAGGGGTCATGAGACCACACTGCAAGCCTCACGATAGTGGGAAAGTTAGTGAGCACAAGAGGCTTGGAAGCGCTGTGCTGCTCGGCGGACACCCGAGCAGGAGCGGTGTACCTCTCTAGAGACAGCTAAAGAACAGATGAGATAAGAGGGGTTTTTTTTTCTGTATTAATAAAATATTGGCACTGATCTTGAAGGATAAAACATGCTAATTCTGAACATTGCAACCTGTAAGGTTGTTGTGTATTAAGTGTGCTGTGGTCGTCTTGTCTGTTGTTTGAGTGGCTACAATTCTGTCCTTTCTTCTATTGCAGTTATTGAAGTCCCTTCCAGTGGGAGTCGGTCAGATATACGGCTGCGATAACCCATGGACAGGGGGCATTTTCCTCTGTGCCATTCTCCTTTCCTCCCCACTCATGTGCCTGCATGCTGCTATTGGATCACTGCTGGGTGTCATCGCAGGTGAGTATAAGACTTGCAACCTAACACTGGCATCTTATCCATCCTGTGCATGTCACAGGCGTCTTTCATACTGCAGAGCTTTCCCGAGGTCTCTGGGCAAAGGGAGTCCTTAGGATATTTCCCACGACCCCACAACTCACTGCACAGCATCCTGCTCTTTGTCCCAAGCTCTGACCACTCTTGTTTTTCTCTACAGGACTCAGTCTTGCAGCTCCGTTTGAAGACATCTATGCTGGGCTCTGGGGTTTCAACAGTTCTCTGGCCTGCATTGCAATTGGAGGCATGTTCATGGCTCTCACCTGGCAGACCCACCTCCTGGCTCTCGCCTGTGGTGAGTATCCGACATATGGTGTGGGTGCCTGAGAGGACTCGATCAAAACCATGGGCAAGCAGTAAACAATGACACAAAAATATATTTAAAGGAGCATATGAGAAATTCAAACTGGGATTGGTGTTTGGGTTTCCTGTGGGTGGGGGCAAGTGATGCTCCTCCTCTGGGAGAATTAAAGTCATCTTTACCTGTCACACTGGTTATTGTGAAGGAAGAGCCTGTGAAATCCTAGTAGCCATTCTAGTTGATACAGAATATTGAATACACGCACACACACACATATAAATAGATATATATTGATATAGAAGTTTGTGTGTGCTTGTTGTTATGCCCCCAAAACCTAAAAAGAAATACTTTGTTCTACTAAAGCTATGTTGTTTGGTGAACCAGGTAGGGTTTCGTGTGGTCCTTTGAGGGCTGGTTTAATCAACTGCTTTCAGACCTGAGCCTGTGCCAGAATCACCAGGATTATTGGTGAATACACAGACTGTTGACCTTGGGTCAGGGACGTGCTGGAGCACATTAAGTCCAGGAGGAATAAATCCAAACCTAGACGCTGTGTCCACCAGTCTTCCCCACAGCTGCTCTGCTACCCTGGGCTGATTCCTGGCTGTAGCTTTCAGACTGTGTGTCAGCTCCTTAAAGTAAGGTGGGCCTCAAGAACTCTGGACTTGGAAAGCTGGTGGGCTCCCCAAGCTGATGATGAGGGACAGACATTCCCCTATAGCCTGTGTCATCTCTAGTCCCACACAAATAAGAACATGAAAGATATTTCTAGGATGGAAAGAGTGATACCCTACGAGAATAAAAGGTAAAGGGGAAGTGGGTTGTAGAGGAATTCTTTCTAACCTGATGTAACAGAGGTCTAAAGTCATTTTATCTCCAGACTGCTCGACCTCAGCCGTCTAACTGGTTGTCATGGTAGACCCCGTGCTAGGCAGGATCTGGAGTGCAGGAGGGGAGCAGAGGTGAGGGTTTGTAGACGCTGCTCAGTTTGGGTTTATGCTATGGCATAGCTAGCAGATCTCAGATTTAGATGTCATTTTGTTGCTTTGTAGAGACTCAGTTGAGCTCTGTCAATATTTGCTACTCTGCTCTTCATCTGTTCTCAAGTTCAAAGCAAAGCAGGCCAAGTGCTAGGGGACAGTCTTAGCTTAACTGGGAGAGAGTCTCTCATCCTCCGGCCCCAGCTTCGCTCCAAGATTGCTTTCACATTTTTATCGGGAGTACATTCTTTACAGTGTGTGCAGTAGCGACAAGCGCGTTAATGTGTTTAGATATTCATACTGTAGCCCGGGGGGGGGGGGATACTGGAAAGACCTTGGATTAGAAACTTTGGGTCCCCTGTAATTCCTGAGCAGAGAGCACTGGACTAGAAGGAGGAACCTGGTGATTTTGGCAGGAGGAGAAGTTCTGAGGGAGGCTCTCAAGGTTTGGACCAGAACAAGAAGAAATCTGTAGTGCAGGATCTGGGGTGAGGTAATTATTGTCAGAGTTATCAGGGAGTACTGCCTGGAGACGGTGACTTTTCTGTGAGCCCTAGCCCAGAAGTGGAGGCCATTTGATAGGGAAGATGGTGCTGGTTGGTGTGGAGACAGCCTGAGTCAAGCAGAAAGCATTCTAACCACGTGAAAAGTGGATTTGGTTCTGACAGGCTAGCAAAAAGGATAGAGCCTAAGACTTTTGCAAATGTTTCCCCAAAAGGAAAATCTTTTCATTATTTATTTTATTGTACTATTATTATAACAGTTTCATTGTTAAGTCAGTACAAAGAGGTATAAAGTAGAAAGGAAGGCTGCTCCATCCTTCTCCCTCGGGCATCTATGTAAGCTCTTTCTGTGCAGTTCCTTATGATGACTATGGTCTACTAACCCCATCCTGGTAATCTTCCCACTCACAATCTTTAACTTAACCAAGGTTACAAATTCCTTTTCATAATCACAGATTCTGGGCATCAGGATGTGGACCCCACTAGGGAGCAATTTTCTGTCTGCCGTACTTCTTTGCCTTTGATATAATTTTGGAAGGTGAGGAGGTGAGGTAGGAGTTACACAATAAGACCCTGACAATATAACAATAATAATAAAATTTTAAAAAGAAAAACCCAAAACAAAGACCAACCCTGGCCTTGTTACCAGACTACCTGGAACTTAATTACAGCAGGGTTCCTAACACTGTTGAGCCTAGGTTTCCCCATTTAAAAAGAGGGGTTGTGGTGCTCCCACTGAATTTGTCTAGGATTAAGTAGTGTGTGCATACATCATATGAAACATAAGTATCCTGCACTTGTTTGTTCTATTTAAAGGTATAGAAAACTTTTTTTCTGGTGGCTTTGCATAAGTTATTAACTTATTAAGAATTAACCTTGTTTACTATTCCTTATCAAAGTCTTAACTTTATCCATACTTTCATCTTATCTGCAGATATGAACAATACCTTGGCCTGCATCAGCCCCCACTCGGAGGCCAGTCCCCAACAGCCACTGAAACCACGCTGCTATTATATAGAATTTTTACTTTAGATCCATATAAACAAGCATTTTCATACTTCCTTGTTTAGTAACCACTGCCTTTGGGTGTGTATCCACCCTGCCCTGCAGCTCAAACTGCCCTGTCAGTGTCTTCTCCAGAGCTGGTTTTGTTGAGAGGAGAACAGCTTCCTTTCTCCCTGGCTTACATTTTAGGGAAGCCCTCTGAAAACAGCACCAGATTTGAGGATTTTGTTTTCTCTCCTAACAAACCTTTTGAAAGTTGTCCTCAAAGATGATCCGGTTGTCTTTCTACATCCCAAACTGCCATATAGACTTCTGAAAAAAACCTAATTCTTGTTAAAGGTAATTTTATTTTGTTCTCTGGACATTTGGAATCTTATCTTCGCATATTTTCCTTGACCACATGAGAAGTGGATTTGGTTCTGGCAGGCGAGGGAAAAGGATGGAGCTGTCTAGATGTGAGAGTTCCCCATCCCCTCTGTGATTAGACACTCAGATTCTTTCGGTGTGGTGTGAGCTCTCCTGTCTTTCTTTAATTCTAGGATTGTGTCTGCTTTTGGTTTCTCAGATAGTCTCTCCAAATATTCCTAGGGGGTTAGTTCCGTGTGAGCTTTTCCATTGCTATGAACTTTTTCTTATTGTTTTCCCCTCATCATCCCTTCACAAGAACCTCCAGTTTCGCCAGCCCACTGAACCATTTTTGGCTCTATCCGTTATGCTTCATCCCGTCATCTTTGCTTCAGGCTTTGACTAAGCGTTTGCTCCATTGTGTCTGTCTTTCCTAGCATTTGGTCTCTTTAGATGTCTGTCCCCTTTCTTTGTTCTAAGAATTTGTTTCTCAAGAGATCCCAGCTGTTTGAGTGACAGCTCTCAATGGGGATTGAAAGCCAGGGCCTTTCTCTTAGTACAGGTGAACAGTCAGGAGATTATGGCTCTGTTGGTTGGGGTCATACAGATGCTTTAGATATGATGAGATTGTCATGCAGGGGCTAGTTACATGGCTTCTATGACAAGACAGTCATGCAGGGGGTTTTACATGGCTTCTAGTTTGGAGCCATTTATGATATTGCTCAAGTGAATGCTTTTGGTGTAAATATCCAAATGTGCATTATATGAATATTTCTGCAACATGTTTCTGCAATCAAACTTGATAGTTCAAAGGAAATGGCAATTGCAATGTCCACAACTGTGGAGCTCATCTCCTGAGAGCCATCTCAGTTCCTTCTGAGCCCGATAGTGTGAGAGGATCAACCCCATCCCCGCTGCACCCCAGCAGACTTCCTAACACCCACACATAAACCCCATCCCCGCTGCACCCCAGCAGACTTCCTAACACCCACACATAAACCCCATCCCCGCCGCACCCCAGCAGACTTCCCAACACCCACACATAAACTCTTGGGGCAGACCTCTAACCCCTCTTGCAAGGCAAGCCTTTGTGTAAAATGCCACAGCAAGTTTCAGCTTGCCCATGTTGCCCTGTCACTGCCAAACAAAAGGCCCACCTTATCTGCCAAGGTAAATAAACAGCAGACACTGGTTACAGAACTGTTCTTTTCTGCCTCCCACAAGTCTCTGCCAGGGAGAACTTGGGAACCTGCAATGGTACCTGACAGAGCTGTTTTCCTTACCTGGAGATCAGGAGCTGGGTGGCCAAGGAATAGCCTTGTTTTTAGGTCCTTTATAGATGTTTTAAGCCTATTTTGTACCTTATCAATAGTTGGGTTACTATAGGAGCTTTCACCCATGACAGTGCATTGAGAGGGGCCCTTGCCTATGAAATCCAGGCTCTCACTGAGCTGTAGGGGTCTTTTCTAATGCGATCACAGATGTGCAGTGTGCAGAAGCTTCCCTGGTGTCAGCCCGTCCCAGCTCTGCACTGCATGCAAGTCTTCATGACGGCAGCCTGCCATTCATTAGTCTGACTTTCTCTGTAGGGAAAACAGCAACATGGACTTAGAGATTATTCCAAAGCATATAACAGTCCAAAACTCAAGAGTGTCAGAAGCGTGTCTTAGAAGTGTTGGGCCTTTGAAGGAGATAAGAGACAATAATGTCTGGGGTGCTCAGAGGAAGAGATGGTGCTAAAGAGAGCAGGCCAGAGTGCAGCTTGTGCTGAGAAGAATACCCAGGAATAGGTGCTGAATGAGTGAGTTAGATCTCGAAAATGAATGAAATTGATGAAAGCAAAGAGGGGAATCCTTCCCACCCAAGTCATGAGCATCCTTCTTCTCAGAGTGGTACCCTAGTACCCTGCCAAGAGGGAAGAGTTCACAGTTGCTCTGGGTGGATATAAAATTTCATTTGAGATTTCATTGTCTGCCTCCCTAAAGCAGACCTTTAAGTTATGAATGATAAAACAAAAAAAAATCTGAGTTTATTCATTATACAGAAATACAAGGAAGACCAGGAATCCAAAAGTAGAACTGTGTCTAAATTAGCGTGAGAAACTAAGACAAGAGAGGATTCATCGCACTATTTAAGCAATATGGTGCTGGGGATACATTATCGATAAAAGGACAAGGAAATGATGATCAGAGAGACCTCTCATCATCTCTGCTATGCTCCCAAGATAGCTCATGTGATTGATAGTTATTCATTGATCCATCGATTGATTGGTGGCTGTCTAACAGTGGCCTAAATGACTATGTGAACAACCAAGGAAAGTCATTCTTCAGTTTGGGGAAACCTGAGGATATTCCCGGCCCCTCGCCTCTTCCTCAGCCAAGACAGAGAAATTGATGGTTAGCTGGTTGAGCCCTTTGTTCCTGTTGCTTTACATGTAAAAGCTACACATGTGATCAGAACGTGCCATTTACATTGGTTTGTTTCTCTTTTCTTGCTAAAAGTAAATAAAAATATCAGATGCTAATTAATGAAGTTGTATGCCCACCGTTAGTGCATGAGAAGGCATTACGTGAAGAGAGTCTCGGGAGTCTGCCCTGCTTCTGCCATGCTCCAAGCTGTGGCCTTCTTATTTTTAGACTCCATAATTCTTGTAGCTGTAAAACTCAAACCATTGATATGGGGATCCTAGGTGCAGTGAGACTGTAGAGAGCCCAGACTGTCTCATCTAAATTCGGTCATGTATGTAGAAAACAACATGGCAGGTTTTTTGCCACAGAAAACCTTTCCCTAAGGTATTGCCACAACAGTGAGAAGAGCAAACCACACTGCAAGGCTACTTTCGTTGAGCGCTTAGCTGAATGTGTGCTGTTTTCTTCATGCTCGCCCAGCCCTGTGAAAGAGCTGGTCCTATTGCTTCTGCTGTACTGCCAAGGAGACCATGAGTTCTGCAGGGATGGGCCAGGATCTGAACTCATAGCTTCTGAGTCTAAATTCACATTTATAACTGGGTGCTGGGCTGGCTAGCAGAACCCCGAAGTATACGTAAACAGTCTAGGATGCTGGTGAAAACTACATCTACCAAATAGTGTTCTTTCCTCTTCCTGTAGCCCTGTTTGCCGCCTACGTCGGAGCCTGTATGACACACTTGATGGCTGTGGTGAGTTCTTTGATCCCATTTTGTCCTCTGCATGACTTGTCAATGATGTGGAAGTGCACTGATGCCCACCTGAGCAGTATCTGGTGACAGGGGCCATGAGCATGGCTCTGGCGGGTGCTGGCTCTCAGCCACTCCCGCCCTCCAACATCACAGCAAATTCTAGCCCAAGCTACAATCGCCAGGCTTATCACAAATGTCAGATTGCTTGGTTTAAAGGATAACTTTAACAGTAGCCTTATCAATAACTCAATACCACATTATCACGTTCATAGTCTAACTCTGGTGTTGAGAAGTTGACTTTAGAATATAGTTTACTTATTAAGAAATCTGAAAAGATAAATGGATAACTGACTAGAGAAACAGGTGTTATTTTAAATCTATCATATATATGATGGAATATATATATATGTATATATATATATATGCATCATCAGTCTGTGGATCAGAACTGGATGAATGGGTTAGCTAGGGAGAGCAGGGAAACTTCAGATCCTGAGGCCCCATCCCTTGGTTTGAGGATAAAGTGTAGGAATTGGTACCCTATTCCCCATCACACTTATGAGGTCCATACAAAAAACGACAGCTAATCAACGTAGAATACTCAGAAATGTGTGAGTTGACATAGCAGCATTGAAGCATGGCACCTCCCCCCCAGATATTAAAAGTCTGTTTAGGAGAGAAAGTAAAAAGGAATAAGAACAAGGAGAGTTCAGTGCTGGAGCAAAGTCAAGGTCAGAAAGGCCACTATGGTTGACTAATCAGAGAAGCCCTTGTGGATGTGATGAGTGGTCAGGATATTAGCTGTTTGGGGGCATCCTGTGTGCCCAGTGTCATCCTGACACGCCATGCTGAAGAAATATGGATAAACGAGAAAACCGGACAAACATACAGAAGGGACAGAACTGACCACCGCAGAAAGACAAGTGAAAACATTCCAATGAATGCTAGCTCTAGATTCTCCGACATCTTAGACATGACTAAGATTTCACAAGGGGGCACAGCAGATTCCAGAGCAATGACCCCCACTAATTTGTACCTGGGTTGAAAGTTCAGGGGGTTCATTGTGTGAACTCACTTTAAATGGAATCTCAAAAGAACGTGTGGCCTGTCTCTTTGTCTCCAGGTCCATTTGCCCGCTGGAACTTGGGCCTTCTGTTTGGCCACGCTACCGTTTCTCTTGCTGACCACGAAAAACCCTGACATCTACAGGCTACCTCTCAGCAAAGTCACCTACTCTGAAGAGAACCGCATCTTCTACCTACAAAACAAGAAAAGGGTGGCTGAAAGCCCTCTGTAAAAGGAACCCCACACGATAGCTGTGGTCACGAGTCATTTCCAAGTGCAGCTCCAGGCTTCCAGATTCTTAGAAACTGCTTTTCACCACGGGGAACGACTATCAGACTATCAGCCACCAACCCATTCTTTTGCTTGTCTTGTGTTTTTCTTTTTGACTGTATATTGTCAAGCACATGAGCGCCTTGCCCAGGTGATGTTCTCTGGAATGGAATTTAAACCCATCTGTGTGCTGGAGGGTGGGGTAGCATGAAGATTGTAATGTATTTATAAAGTCGACATGTTCCAAGAGAAAGAAGAAATGGAAGCAGAATAATTATTATTTAAAGCTACCTTTGATGTCAGTATTAAGCGTTAAGTTCTGTAGCCATCTAAGCCTTACAGAACTCGGGCACGGAAACAAAGCCAACCCAAAGAGTCCTCAGATCAACAGTTTGCTTTCAGAGTCAGGCCAAGCTACTCACAGCAGACGTGACCAACATTGCAGTGGGGTAGCTTGCCGGCAGGGCGGTGGCTTCTGCACTATAGTAAAAGTGTGACGTTCTTAATGAGAATGATTAGGCTTTTTTCAAGCTGCCAGAGCTGTGAGGAGGACTTTGTTGGTCAAAATAGTTTTGAATTGCTGCTCTTGGCATTTCAAAACTTCAGGGAGAGTGTATTTATTCTTCTTATGAAAAAAAATAAATTTTTCACTGATATGTTTGTAGCCAGCCAGTTCCTAGAAATTAACTAAAATATGTATATATGGAATACTTAGCATAGTTGCTTTTACTTTAATTATTATATTAGCTTTTAGTTTGGGGGAAGTGTTTGACATAAGGTCTTGCTATGTAGCTCAGGCTAGCCTAAAAGTCAGCATCCCTCTGCTTCCATTCCCCAAGCACTGGGACTATGTGTTAGTTTTTAAAGTGTTTCAGATACATGGCAACGTCATTAACCTCAGGAGCCTTTTACAGTCACATTTTTAATGAATCTGAGGACATCTAGGCACTGCTGTTAAGTCACACATAGACTTCAAGAGTTCTTTAATTTCTTTATATATATATATATATATATATATATATATATATATATATATACTTTCTTTTCTGCACACTATGCTCTGTTTGGGAAACTAGTGGTATTGGAACCACCTGAAAGAAATACAGGGAGGGGCAATCTCCAGGTTTTCTCTTTAATATTTTTAATTTAAAAGTTGTAGCCTCTGTAAAAATTCTATGACCAATCATGCCAAAGAGGAGAGCAGAAAGCTCCTCTTACGCTCTGCCCAAAGAAATTCATTGTTTGAAAGCTTGGGAAAGTGAAAACTTAAATCCTAAAGAATTTTTTTCCTGTTGAGTATGTTATTCATGCCTGAAATCCTAGCACTCAGGCAACTGAGGCAGAAGGACCACAAGTTTAAGGGCAGTGTGGACTACACTGAATGGCCCTATCTCAAAAAACAAACAACAACAACAACAAAAAAGAAACACCCCCCCCCCCACTTCAAGAGTCAGTGTTATCCGGGCAGCGGTGGGGCATGCTTTTAATTAGAGGCAGCTGAATCTGTGAGTTTGAGGCCAGCCTGGTCTACAGAGTGAGTCCCAGGACAGCCAGGGCTACATGGAGAAACCCTGTCCGGAAAAACAAAAGCAAAAACATAGTAAGTGCTGAGAAGACAATACAGATTGCTGAAGGGCTGAAGTCAGGCAGTAGGAAAGCCTGGGCAAATGCCTTAGGGAGCCGGTCCCCCTCCGTCTCCTCAGGATAACAAACCCTGAGAACTGGGACCATTTTTTACATCCTGTGACCAAAGCCCTTTGAAGCCATGGATCTGCAACTGTCACTGGTTCCTGGGTCGTCCTATGGAAAATCTGAATTTCCAGTTTGAACTGAAATTTTCCTGTTTGGAATTTGTGAAGGAGGGGCTGAGAACAGCAAGAAGAGAAGGGTAAGCAGAGAACCCTCCAGAAGTGAAGAAGCTGCAACCTAGAAGAGCAAACTGAAGCGCTCTCCCCATGCCCCTGAGCCCACCTCAGAAACAGAGCTCTAACTCACCTAATCCCGCTCCGCCTCAAACCTTCAAACGGGAACAAGCTTAAAGCCTGCTATACTATTTTATTTATATAATATTAATGTCTTTAAGGTATTTTTGTTACTAAGTATTATCCTAAAGTTAAATGAAAACTCTTAGGGCTCCCTTTGTACCTTTTTTGCTATTGTCTGTGTAACAGATTCCTGTGTAAACATATGAATAAATTATATTCACGGCTCAGTTCACTCTCATGTGTCTTTATAGTTAGTAATGTTGTTATATAGATATGAGCATTCACATACATAATTGTGTGTCCCTTATATTTCTGAGCCAGAGTTATAACTGGCTAGACAAGAGAAAGAAAATATTCTAAAGAGAGACATATGTGGCCTCCCTTTGGCTAGCAGACTATGGGCTCCAAAGGGTTAAAATTTCCCCTCCCCAGTATGAAGAAAGGGAAAAGACAAAGCACGGTGCCAGGCAGAAGAGGGACTTGCCCCCCCCCCAGGAAGAAATCTCCCAGTTCTAGTAACTTATTGAACCACATTGTGGGACAGGCTGATGCCCAGGCAACAATGGGTAGTGCCACACCTTGCCCCAGATTGCTGAGTTGTATGTACTTTCTACCTTCTGGTTAAACCTAAACCTCATCCAATGCCCCGAGGTGGACTTGGAGGCCGTTTGACCTCTTTCTTCCTCTTCCCTATGTGTGACCACTTTAAACAGATGTCCTTGCATTTCCTTCCCATCTTACTGGTCTCTTTGGTGGGCATATTTGGGGGAGGGGGTAGATGGGCATACTTAGCTTGATGAGACCGCCAGAGCCTGAGTCTTGACCCACAAACTCAAATAACAAAATCAGATGGGTAGTTGATCAAACTCTGCTCAATTCCAGATTGGCCAGCCTGTTCCATCTTCTCAACTACTCCTTGTTCCCCCACCTCGGGTATGAGAACGATTGACTGTTAGGCATGTTGGGATATCCTCCTCACTAGCCCTGGGAGGGCAATATCCTGGAAGCCATAGATCCAGGGTACCCATCAGCGTCAAGCCTAGAGTCAGGGCTCTGAGAAAGCCATTCCTCAGAACAGGGAGAAGTTCCCGTCAGCCTTGCCTCTGTTCCCGAAAACACTTCTCTCCCTCTTCCCATTGCCATGGTTATCATATCTGAGAAACATGTTGAGAATGGAAGGCACCTCAACAAGACTCAAGGACGACTTTGAAAGAATCCCAAACAGAAAGCTACTGGAGGCACTGTAGGATGACCCCCATCAAAATGCCCTCCGCCGCAACAAAACCTCTGTCTCCTTGTATCACAATTTTCTACATTGTCATACAATGTCCCTTTCGTCTGAGAGAGAAAAGATGAGACCCTTTGAGGCCCCAGACACTATAAAACTTTACAAGCTACGGGTAACAATTTATATGTTACCCACTTCTATGGCTTAAGTGTCTCATCCAAACTGCGTGTGTTAGGAAGTTAATCCCCAGCTCAACAGGGTGGAGAGATGGAGCCTTTAAGAGATTAGTCATGAAGAGTCGGCCTTCACAAATGAATCCATGTCCTGGAGTGGGTGAGTTTCCGCACGAGTGGATTCTTAACAAAAGGATGAGGTTCGTGCCCTCCCCCCTCCCAAATACTCTCACTTCTGTGTATTTAGAACATCTTTTGCCTGCTCCTGGCTACAAGAGCTTGGGAAAGCCTGGGTATGGTACTGTTGGCTTCAACACAATGGGTGAGCTCTACCATAGTGAGAAGAAGCAAGACAAAAAACTATTGAACAAACAGACAACATGTCTGTCAGAGGGCATAGAGTACCACCCACCATATATATATGGTACCTATGTACCCATGCTGGGCATGGCAATGTGGTGATTGACAAGATAATCTATTTCAGGGCTTTTAGAGGAATTTGAGACAGAGGCCTACAACAAACCTGTTTGTACAAAGATTAATTGTGGAATACTTGCTGGAATGTTCCCAGAGTACATTGGGATGTTCCAGCCTCATAGAAAGGTTCTATATCCTGTTTCTAACAAAATGTCAGCAAAGAGGAGGTTTGATAATACTCAGACAAGGAAAGCATAAAGCCAACCCATGTTCTAAACCATTGTCTTTAAGAAATAGCGTTCAGGCTGGGCGGTGGTGGTGCACGCCTTTAATCCCAGCACTCGGGAGGCAGAGGCAGGCAGATCTCTGTGAGTTCGAGACCAGCCTGGTCTACAAGAGCTAGTTCCAGGACAGGCTCCAAAACCATAGAGAAACCCTGTCTTGAAAAACCAAAAAAAAAAAAAAGAAAGAAATAGCGTTCATTTATTTATGTGTGTAAGAGATTGGGGGGTTGGGGAGAGACGGAGACCATCACAGAGCATGTGAGAGGCAGAGGACAGCTCTTGGGTAGCCTGTCTTCTCCTTCCACTGTGTGGGCTCCAATCTGATCTTCAGGACTGGCAGCAATAGCGTCTCTCCGCGGAGCCATCTCGCTGCAGGCCCTCTATCTTGATCTAATGGTTGAAGCACCTAAATCATTCCACATCAGGAAACCTTTGGGAATGGCTGCGTTTCATTTCGAGCTCAATGAGGCACTGAAAACAAGTGTCCAACATTTTCTGGTTCATGGTCTCAAGTAAACAATGAGAAATCCCATTTCCTGTTTGGGCTGGGTCCATTGGATTCCAGCCTGACAAAGCTTTGAATTACACAGCGGTGACATGCGAGGGCTTGGAAGGGAAGAAATGAGGCACAGAGGAACGTTGGAACTGTTCCAGGAAACCTGGCTAAAATTAAGTCTCCGAGGAAATAATGGCAGCTAGGCCGTGAGTCAGTGTCCCAAAGGCCAAGTGCATCTTGAAGCAATAAGAGCGCAATGCCCAGGAAGGCCAGCCCAACAAAGGCGCCTTTCTCCTTCTGAGCCCCCCTCCCCATGTTGGCCTCTCAGTGACAGTGTGCTCCACCTAATAGCACACGGGAGCAATGAGCAATATGAATAAGCTGGAAGAAGAATTAGTCCCAGTAGAAATTTACTTCAAATGTAAAGAACATATTGGATTGCAAACTCTTAATGAAAAAGGGGGGTTAAAATGTCAACAAGTTTTGAGCTGATTAAATGTTAAAGTTTAACATAATACTTTAGGTTCGCTGAAATAAAATAATTTAAATTAACTTCATTTGTACTCTTTGGGGGACTACTAGCATACTTTTTATTAATGTTTTTATTAAAATAAAATTCTATCATTTCCCTTCATTTTCCTTACCCCATCTCCTCCCATGCCCCTTTCCCTCCCAAATTCCTTGCTTTATATATGTAATGTATGCATATAAATATATAGCTGCAGCCTACTGAGTCCTTCAGCACGGCGTGTATGCGATTTCAGGGATGCGATTTCAGTTAGATGATCAATGAGGGGGCCTTTCCATGAGGGAAGACCCTTCTCCCACTCTCAGCACGCCTTAGTTGCCTGTAGCTCTTTCTCGAGGGGTGGGGCCTCATGAGTCTTCCCCCATCCATATTAGCACGTCTGTGGGTGTTGTCCGTGTCCAGAGCTTCTTCAGGCAGCCATATTGTTTCATCAGCCTGGGTGGAGCTTTCCTGTCGTTTCTAGGAGACACGCTCGCTCTCACAGAGGACTTCCTGGTTCTCGGGCTCTTGCAGTCTTCCCGCCCCTTCTGCCTCAATGTCCCTTGAGCTCTGGGTGCAGGAGTTGTGTTGTCGTCCTATCCACTAGGGCCAGGCAGTGCATTTTGACCAATTGTGGTTTTCTCTAGCAGTCTCTGACCGTTGCAAAGAGAAGTTTCTTTGGTGGAGCTTGGGAGCTATACTTCTCTGTGAGTTTAAAGATAAATATTTGGAATGCAGTCCGGAAATGTGCTTTAGCAAAGTGGGGGTGGGTTCTCCCTTAAGATCCGTGGTATCATTCGGCCTGGGTTGTTGGTTAGGTTTTCAGTATGGGGCATGATTTCCGTTCTGCTGAAAAGACCCTTAAGTCCAGTCAAACAGGACCGGCTACTGTCAAGATATGAGTGCCACTATTTCACCCTGGGGCTACCTTGCCGTGCTAGTTGTTGTGATTCAGAGGCTTCACAACTGGGTAGAGCTATTTGTTGCTTCCCTGTCTTGATAGCATGCATAGCATCGTCTGGTTCTAGGAAAGACTACCCTCGAGGAGGAAGCTTTCACATCCGGCTTGCATCCCCTGGGTCCTGCCTCTGAAGTGCATGATGTCTTCAGCAATAGGGACTTATCTTCAACCTCTGGGAGGTAACCAAGGGCAACAGTAACTGTTTTTGGAGTCTCTTGGAGTTCCCCTGACCAACAACTTGAAACGGGATTTCTCATAACTGGTACTTTGGTTTTTCTCAGATGTTCTATGACTTTTTGGGGAAGCATTTTCGGCCCAAGGAGCTTAACTTTATTTAAACTATATAGAGGGCTAAAGAGATGGCTCAGTTTTAAAGGACAGGCTCACAAGCAAAAACAAACTATATATGTACATGTATACATACATACACTTATATGTAATTTGAGGTAAGTAGAAAATATTATGATTCCTACAGCCTTTTTCAAACAACATCCGTGTTGTTTCCCCTCCTCTTTTTCTCTCCTTCTGTACGGACCTCCCTCCCTGTCTTATTCAGTGTGCCATTGCTACAAAGAGACACCATGACCATGGCAACTCTTGTAAAAGAAAAACATTTCACTGGGGATGGCTTACAGAGTCAGAGATCTAGTCCGTCCCCATCATGGGAGTGAGTATAGCGGCACAGAGGCACACATGGTGCTGGAGAAGTTGCTGAGAGTTTTACACCTGGATCTGTACGCTGCAGGAAGAGAGAGGCACACAGGGCCTGGCCTTGGCTTTTAAAACACCAAAGCCCACCCCCAGAGACGCATTTACTCCAACAAGGACACACTTCCTAATCCCTCTCTCCTTGTGCCACTCCCTGATGGCTAAGCACTCAACTATGTGAGCCTCTGGGGACCATTCTTCTTCAAATGACCACACTCCCTCTCCCTCCCCCATTTTTCTGTTTCCTCCCTTATATCACCCTATCCTATCTGGCACTTCTCCACACTCTGTCACCATAAGATGCTTTTATTTGGTACTTGAGCATTTCAATGTGACCACTATAAATATATTTGCGTGTCAAACTGTTCGTGTGTGTCTGTATGCATATATGTGTGCAGATATGCATGAATCTCTCATCGACCCTAGAGTCCGGCTGAATTC